AAAAAAATTTTTATTGAAAAAAATGTAGGAAACAGCATATCTTAAAATGAAGTGGAGATCTTCTTTAAAGGGTAAAAACTCATCCAATTTTATGTCTTACAGGGCTTTTACTGAGTTCATTATTGTATGACTGCACTAATTCAACTGTGAACCTAAAAATTTTTAGCCACTTTTGAAAGAGATGTTATCTTTGCTCTGGAAATTGTTGAATAGGTTAATGCTGTTGTAATGAAATGCTTCTTCTAATAAAAAAATAATGATTAAAAAAATAATTCTTCAAAGCAAAAAAAAAAAAATAAAATAAAAAAAGGAAAGTCTTATCACAGTCACTTTATGTCCAAGAAATGATAGTGAGATGGTCTGTGTGGTATTTGGAGCACATATATTTTGAACATATACACTCTTTAAGGAGTCTGAGAGGAACATTATTGCCAGAGGGAACTCATGCTAGTATCTGCCATCTATGTAAACCTGGTTTTAGCATTTTGAACTCAAAATGCAAAAATGGCAACAAAATCATCCTCTTTAATGGTTTTTCATAATCTAGAAATGGAAGATTTAAATTTTTTAGACATCAAGATTGTTTTACATTATATTATAAATATCAAACGATGCTCTGAAAGCTTTGTACCCAAGTTTCAAAGAAAAGGTCCATCATACCTCCATCATAGTTCATAAGAAATCAAAGAAATAATCTCTTTCTCACATAGTTGAAGATGATAACAGAGAAGCGGGTACCCACTTCCTGGTGGGTAATCTACCAAAATTCTGTCATTCATTCCAACTGGGTAAAAGGTCCATTTGAATAAATAGAAATCTCTACCCACTGGAATATTTGACAGGAAATATTGTTTCTCAAGCAGTTTTGTTAAGCTTGTTATAATAACTAGATGACTGGTTAGTAATATAATTTACATACAAATAATTTACTAAACTCCCTAAAAACAGTTCCTTGTCTTAAATAGGTTAAAACCCTCCTCCATAGAGTCTTTAATTTTTACACACATTTTCTTGACAGGCAGTTGAAAAATATAAATTCAGTGAGCTCAAGCTGAACAATTAGAATCTCTGAAGTGGTTAGGACTAATAAGGTTTGATTGCAGGTTCTTGAAATAAGATAGTCTCTCACACTGTGATAAAGCTCCCCAATAGGTCTTTTTTTGTGAGTGCTGAAGTGGTTTGTTTTGAGTAGGACATTTTAAGGGTAGCCACCTGGAGACTAGGGCACCCTAAGGCCATTATTATAGAATTCCTGAGAGTCACAAATAGCTACCTTCAAGGTGGACACATGGGCTTATTGACTCAAATATTCTGGACAAGTGTCTATCAAAGTGACAGCCACAAAAATGTTTTGTGAGTAAATCCTTTTCTAGAATGAAAAGGTTTTACTTGGAGGTCGTGCTTCCCAGGTCTCAGAGAACCTTGAGAAACCATTATAAATGTAGCAGTTGGTTTTTAATGTAAACTCACTATTGTTATATGGGCTGGCCATGCTTGTCAGTCAGTTGCAGTCACTAAGGACGTAGGCAGACTCAGGAGGAGACTTTGTTTTTGTGATGGTAGGGACCAAACCCAGGTCTTGGTACATGCTGATAAAGCCTTCTATCTATATCTCGAGTCTCAGGGATGCCACACTAAAAAAGCCTCTTAAATAAGATCAACTCTTCCTCACTCAGCAATAATCAGCTGCCAATAGTTCTTTGGCTAAGGTTAGAGCCTGCTGCCCATTTCCCCAGTGCTATGCTGGGTTTTTTATGCACTTGAACTTGCATGGGTCTAGTGCATACTGATGCCATTACTGTAAGTTCATATGAGCAAGGTCCCAGGAGCCTGTAAGACTCTGTTTCCTTATGGTCATGTATCTCCTCCCCTGGCTCTTACAGGAGGGTGCCAATGGAGGAGGGAGTATAAAGTTATTTAAGATATTTTGTATGAAATGAACAAAAAATCAATACATAAATATGCATTTAAAAATCCTCTTAATGTGTCTAAATTTTGAACTTTTAGAGAAAATCGTTTTTACCTGGTCATTTCTGAAATATTTTAGGCCTATTGTGGAAGAACAGCCTATATGTTTTTCAATTTACTGTTTATTATTGGCATCATCTCCCTAAACTTTGAGTGTAGATTTATAAATGGAATTAGATGACCACATGAGCAGCATTTCAAGAAGACGAGAATAATATCGAAATGTTAGAAATTTTGTTTAACTTAAATTAGAAATAGAGAAAATAAATGTCTTCATTGATTTTTCTACATGCAACTGAAAGGAAGGTGTACTTAGTTTCACTGTGTCACCTTGAGTGAGTCCTTGGTTTTCCCCATGGGTAAATGTCAGTACTTGGCTCCTACAATGATCAGAAGCAGCAGACATACCTTCCATCTTGCCGACTGATGGTAAACCCGTAATCACTGTGATGCAAGAAACTGACATTCACTCCCACAAGAGGGGTTCCATCTACAGCCACCACTTGACCACGAATTACACAAGCACGCCTGCAACAAAAGTCAAAAACAATCAGAAAAGTATGCTGAAATTAGAATCCAGATGTCAAACAGCAGAAACTTTGGAGAACACTCAAGTATAATGAAGAAAACAATAACTTCACCAACCCCAAATAAGTAGTAATGGCATTTTAAGGATGACATGCTTTTTATCCATCAAAGGTCAGAAAGCTAGTATTTTTAAGTTAATATTATCTGATCAGTATTATCCAATATAATGAGAATATGCAATTTCTTTTACTACACAAAGTATCCTTACGATAATATTCCATGACTTAATTCACCTCTTCTTTTAGGACATGTAGTTGTTTTTTTCATTTTTTCTGCATTAAATTTCTTATTTCCTTGGTATAGATTCATACTTGCGCAAAGATATTTGAATCAAAATTAAAATGAATCACATTAGTTAACACATAAATACCTTGGAGGTGTGACTAAACTCCCTATTGACCACTTATATCCTACCTTTTTCTGGTTTTCTAACTATAGGTAATCAGCAGTATCAAGTTTAGTGTAATTTTTATTAGGTTATACAGGTATCATTATTTTAAGGCTCTTGATACACAATGCCATAGTGCTTTGTTTAGAAAAAAATCAATCCAACAATCTTAGTTGGGATAGCTGTGTATATTTGTGTGCGTGTGTGTGTGTGTGTGTGTGTGTGTGTGTGTGTGTGTGATATGTATGTGCTTGTGGAGTTCAGAGCACAACCTTTACACAGGGTCTCTTGTTTGCTACTGAGTACATCAGGCTAGCTGGCCTGTGAGCTTTTAAGAATTCTCCTGTTTCCACATGCCATCTTCCTGGAGGATCACTGGGATTACAGAGTTGTGCTACTGTGTCTGGCTTTACATGGGTTCTGTGAATCCTGAAATAATGCTGACAAATCTCATATTCTCATGTTTGCATGCTAGGTGCTGTACCTATGGAGTCATCGCCCCAGCCCCTAGTTTGGTGAACTTTAAGTTAAAGTCTGCAATGAAGGTATGAGCTTTCACTATAATATTATTTTATGTTTAATTTAAGAGAAATATTTCTGGATATTTTCCTTTTAAATAAGTAAGTTTCATCTTTGGCAGAAATGATATCCCATTCTCGTTCCTAAATGAGGTGGTCGCTGAAGGACATAGTCCACTAAAGTGTCTATAACTTCCTGCTCTAAGTTGCCTGACAGACTGTAAAAAAATTCTATGAATGTGAAATTAAAAAAGAGGACCCTGGAATACATTTAAAGCACGGAAGGGTTTTCCACTGGTCTACCATTAACTGGAGATGTGGAGATTTTTTTCATCAAAGTCCAGTTCTAGTTTTGGCAGCTGTGAGCTCCTGTCATGAATTATGTAGCTTGAACAGGCAAGGTCAAGGAAAACTGAACAATGTCAATGATTTTTTTCTAGGGCCTTGAACATCTTTTTTTTTTTAAACAAAAACAAAAACAAAAACAAAAACAAAAACAGAAACAAATAGCACAGGGTATCCTGGGGAGTTAAATCTTGGTTTGGTTTCAAAAGTTATTTGGGCAAAAATGAATTTCCTGATTAATCCTAAGAAATTTATCTTGGGATTTTATACTCTTCTAACAAATTCAGCAAGTCGAGGCAAGTATCTGCAGGCCTATGGTACCAAAGCATCACTTGAGAATACAAACAATATGAAATAATCAAAGTCATTCCAAATAAACAAAAGATAGGTACCAGCCTCAGTTTGTTTTATGTGTTTCAGTCAATAAACCCCATTAGTAAATTCTATGGCAGTCTAAGAAGATGGTTTGAAGTGAAGTTAATAGGACTTATTCTGAATTACCTAATGCCTTTCCTTAACACAAATTACAAAACATTAGGTATTAGCCCTAGGAAAGTAGGATAATCATTCCTACTAGCATTTGGGTATTTTCTGAGCTCTTAGACCAGTACTCTTAGTTCTGTGACATGTATTTACTGGCTTTCTTCATTCTACAAGTTATGCAGATCATGACTCCGAATGATCTGTAAATTGTATGTTGGCACTTGGTTTGTCTTGTCTGATTTTTCCAACCACTGTCATTTAAAAGTTCCATTTGTTCTAATAGAGAAGTCATCTGAAGTCCTTGAGTTTTAGATTTTTGACCTAATGCTGACAAATAAAATTTCTGGTTCTAAGTACCAAGAAATTAAAATGAAGAAAATTCCTTGGTTTTCTAGAGTAAAAGCACACAAAGAAATATTTGACAAAGCAAATCTTCACAAAGCAACATTTGATGAGAGAGAGGTTAAATGGAAGAAAAGTGTGAACACTTTTCCATAGACTACTTAAGGACTGGAGCCAGGGGCCTGAAAAGAGATTCTGTTAGTGGTGCCAAATCATTTAGAATTTAGTTGTTGATCAGTTTTGGTGTGTGCACGTGTTAGCTGTGAATTTGCCAAGCCTCCAGCTAACAAGGAAGACTTCGCAGCAATAATGCATAGCTAGTGCTTGCTGATTCCCTTTAGGTAGTACAATTCTACACTCACTCATTTTATTTGCTCGCATTAATCTGGACATTGTGTCTTTCCACAGTTGTACTAGGCTCAATTATTTTTGTTTTTATTTTGTCAAGCCTAGTTGGCATTATTGTCTCATATTTTATGACAGACACAGATCTGTCTCTTCTATCTGTTGCTCTTTTATTTTCTATATGGCTTATATTTATGAAGGCTCCAGGCTAGTGAGTGAAAGACTCATAAAAGTCATCATTATTCTGTGCATTTCCCTTGTCTTTCTCTCTTCCTTCATTCTTTATCTCATTCTGAGTAGACTCGTCTTTTGACTCTCTGCTCCTTAATATTCCTCATATTTTATGAAGCACACAGATGTGTGTGATAATGACTCATCAAAGTCATCATTATTCAAGACACTTTCTACGTGTTCTTCTCATTCATTTCACTCTTCATCCATCATAATGTGAATGCACCTGTCTGTCACCCCCTTCTTTTTTATTCCTCATATTTTATGATCCACACCAACTTATAGCATGTGATAAAGCCCTGTAAAACTTATTATTCTACATTTATCAGTACTGAGCTCTTTTTGTAATGTATCAGACTTTAAATGTTCTAAGATCCCCTGTGTTTTGCTGCATTTGTTCTCATTATTTACACATTCCATGTCATCAATTTTTTTCCACAAGAATAATTCTTAGCTCCTTTTATTCCTGAACTACTAGTACTTACCATAATCATTGACCAACATTAGTTATCTAGTGTCAGTGTAAATTCTCTAAATTTTGGGATAGTATGAAAATAGTCTTTCTAATGTACAGTAACCATGCCAGATACTGCATACAGAAGAAAATCTTCTCAGGCACACCTTCTGCTTCAAAGCAAAAGCTCCCGAGTCCAATCTCTTCCTCAGGGCATACTAGCTCCAAATGGCCAGTACAGTGTATTGTGCTCTTCAGCTTCCATTTTGTGGATTTCAATTCTAAATTCAGTTTCCTAGCTGTAGCTGATACCCTTATATCTGTACTCTCCCACACCCAGCTGCTGATTCACTCAGGAAATGTAATTTCTTCATCATTCGTTTGACATGTTCTGAGTATCCTTCACAGGTCCAAGCAGCCATGTTTTCCCAAGATCCAAGCTGAGAATGTGATGTCCACGGTAGGGTTCGGCCTTTCATAAGCTCAATGCTACATTATGTGCATTTTATTTCTTTTTCCCCATTGTGGTGTCACCACATTTCATATTCCAGAGAGTACCCAGTTTCTCTCAATTGCATCAAATTTAGGCAGACCTAACTGATTTTCCCTTGGCCTGTCTCAGAGAAACATACTAAGATATTAAAATTTTGTCATGTCAAAACTGCCTTCAGGCTGAACCTGCTGGCATAGGCTTATATTCCCATCTACTCAGGAGGCAGAAGCAGGAAAAATACAAATATAAAACCTGCCTGGGATAGCAGCAAGGTCAACATCAGTCTGGGCAACTTAGCAAGTTCCTGTCTTAAAATGAATAATACAAGATTGGATGGAGATATAACTCAGTGGTAGGGCACTTATACAGCAAGTGAAAGGCCCTAGGTTCAGTCCTCAGTGACATAATAAAACAAAACAGAATAAAACCCCAAACTACCTTAATCCTGAGTCCTAGTCCTTCCAGGACCCATATTTTTTTTTCAGAAACCTAGTCCATTCAATAATATAGAGAAATATTCACAATCTTTAAAGTAGATGATAGGAGCTAGTGCCTGATTGTCATGATGCTGGTCCTGTGCGAGCAAGTATCAGCCCATTTTAACCATCTTATGTTCCTTGTGTGTATGTCTGCTGTGTGTGTGCTTGTATACTTTCAATGCCAGAAACTATGTGCTTTGCATCTTTGCCTGGGGCTCTTCCTTGAATCAGAGACATGAATGAGATGCTTTGCTTCCTTAAACCTTTAAAACAGAGGACCTCTCCCTGCTATGGTTGGTGACAGACAGTAAGATAAGTTGAACTTAGATGGCCATGTCCAATGTGACTTTTAAAACATGTGTAGAGAAGATCACCCCTTACAAATGTCTCTTTTCCTATTCTCTGGAGGATATAGCCTGCTGCCAAGCTGTCTACCTGCTGTCACTGTGCTAAAGGAGTAACCCCAAGGGAATTGCTTCTTCACTTAAACTAAATGTTGATGCTTCCAAGTGTTTGGAGTTAGATCTGAAGAACAGAGCATCTTGGGAAATGCAAACTAGAACACACTTTTCTGAAAGCCTTATTTAACTAACAAGCTGCTTGTTAGACAGCTCTGATGCAAAAGGTCTAATTCATTTTGTATTTGCTGTTTTCATGGCACAGTCAAATTATCTCTAGCCTTCAATCAACTCTTGGTTCCATTGTCCTCTGTCCTTATTTGTTGTCTTTTGTCTTCTCTGTCAAACTTCCAATATTCATTCAACACCTCTGGCAACAGTATTAACCTCATGCACAGAAGTTGGTTTGAAAAACAAGGATGAAATCTAAATTGCTGAAAGAAGATGTAATTTACTGCATTGTT